ATAAAGCCTTAAAGGGTCGCTTCCTGGAGCTGAGGCATGTACCTGCAAAACAACGGATTCGTAGCCAAGCCGCTGACTGTTGAGCCCCCAGTCAGGGGGGTGGGCTGTGGGCCAAAGCTTAGAGTGGCGAGTTTGGGGCTTAGGGATTAGGGGCTTCGGGTTTAGAGTTTAGGGTTGAGGATTTAGGGCATCGGGTTTAGGGTTTAGGGTCTAGGGTTGGGGAAACATTTTTGCAGTTTGCATATTACGACATGTTCTGTTCTGTTAGGATTTGCCCTCGTTTTGTAGCGGTTGTTCATAAAAGGGGTTACCCTAAACCCTAACCCTAAAGGCTAAAGGCCATGGTAATGGCAGCCTGTGGTGGTAGCTTTTGCTGTGCAGTGTGGGGTGGTTTTTTCGGCTTCCTGATACGTATTGGTGAGTGTAGTAAGAATGAAGACCCTGCCTTGGGATGTTCCCCCTTATACGTAATCGGGAGTACAATCGGGGGTACAATGGTTCCTAACAGTCCTTAAGGGGGAACATCCCAAACCGCACCTATCTACACTTAACTCTAAACTCTAAGCTTACCCTAAACCTTAAACCTTAAACCTTAAACCTTAAACCACGGCTGGCTATTGCTCGCAAGTATAGGGCTTCTTTGGAGTGTCCCTTCAAGGGCAAACCGACTGCGACGTGTAATGCGGCGGGCGAGTGAGTTTTAATCTGGTGGGGCATCATGTTCAGGAAAGGCCGGGGACAGAAAGTACGCCCGCTGTGCTTCCATTCCATGTACATTCTTGGAACCCCTGGATGTACCCCAAACCCTTGCCCTAAACCCTATATACCCTAACATTGCAACGGGTGCCCCCCCCCACCCCCCCCCCCCCCCGAACCCACATCTACCACTTGCCAAGCTGCTGGTGCAGCCAACGTATTCGCAGGCAGCATTTTTGGATTTAGGGCCTTCCTAAACCCTAAACCCAGAGCATCAGCTTTTAGTGTTTTAGGGCTTCGGGTTTAGAGTGCAGAGTTTAGAAGCTCCTATGGACATTTAGCTGTCAGTGCTGACTGAGGTGGACCACTACTACCTGCCCCTGGACCGGCAGCCCAAGTACCAGGCTTCTATATCCTTCCACCTGCTCTGACCAGCCACTTCCCTCTTTAGGGGCTGGTTCCCCTCGAAATCCTACTAAGCAAGCAAGGGCACCACTTTTTGCTTGGCGCTTTCTGGGGAACCTACCTTCCTTAAACAAACTGGTGAAGGGCTTAGGTCAGAGCCTCACGAGTTACGTGCTCATGCCCCAAGTTTCTGGCCAGCTTTGAGGTACGTCACTGACAAGGGCAGAATAGAAGGTTCCCCCCCGCACAACCCCTAGTACCTTGATGTAGAGAACGCACCAGTGTGCTCGCCGGTGGAGTAAGTGACCTTTAACCTTTGTAGGAGTGCCAGGTTTAGGATTTGGGTGTCTTTGTGTGTGTACTTACACAGATGAAAGGGTTTAGGGCTCAGGGTGTTTTACCCTTGGAGCCCCAAAGACTCGCCCTTTCCCACCGTAGGCAACTCAGTAAGGAACAGGCTCCTAGTCCCCTAGTTGCGAGATGGATTTTACCTAGAACTCAAGTCGTAGCTATTTTGTCGAGGATGCATTGGTGTGCGTGCTGTGCATATTGTAAGAGAGGGTAGGTGCCAAAGAACGGAAACGTCGAGATCAACCCCAAAATCCCGAAATCGTTAACCCTGTTTGAACTTGAAATCCCCCTCCCGAAACCCTAAACCGCCAAACCGTCAGAACTTCAGACCATGAACCGCCCCAAGCCCATAGTAATCAATCAGCCCGCGGCCAAAAAAACCTACAAGCCCAGTCCCCAAGCAGACCCCAAGCCTTTTATTTCAGAATCCCTAGCCGAAAGAGGGGAGAACTTCATCCAGAAAAAACTTCAACCCTAGAGTTTGGGGTTTAGGGTTTAGGGCTCAGGGCTTAGTTTAGGGTTTTCGGTTTTCGGTTTGGGGTTTAGGGTTCATGGTTGGGGGGTAAACTTAGCCCTGAACAGCCGCCACTGCAGGCTCGAAAGCAGCGCTCAGATGTGGACTACGACCACATCGAGTCGATGGATGTGGAGCGTTTCGGACCGAATTCTTGCTCCTACGGGTTCTTAGTTGGGAATGGGGACTTTGGTACCTTCTATCCATATGATATCTATCTATATATATTTATATATATACATATACATACCCTGTAAGGGATTCTGTAGGACAGCTAATTCCCTCATTCCCTACTAACCCTGAGGGTCCATGTACCTGATTATTAGATACTTGGGCCCTAAAGTCCTTATATAGGAAGTACTTTAAGGCTCAAGTATTCCCTATTTAGGTACATGGACCCTTAGGGTAAGAACAAGTAGGATTAGGGTTTCGAGTTACAAGCTTTTCAGGGCTTATGATCCCGTAGATCCCACGGTTATGGGTTTCGGGTATTCATGGGTTTAGGATTCAGGGCTTAGTATTCTGGGCTGAGGGTGCAAGGTTCAGGGTTGAGGGTATCAGGTTTAGGGCTCCAGACCCTGAGCCCCTAAACCCCTCAAGCCCTCAACCCCTAAACCCCTAAGCTAAACCCCTCAACCCCTAAACCCCTCAACCCCTAAAGCCCTCAACCCCTAAACCCTTACACCCTAAACCCTGAACCCCCTTTAGGGGGTTGGGATAAGAGAAATCCCGGGCCCAGCCCAGGCTCATCTGTCAGCATCTGAATGTCGGAATCCCGGTTTGCTGGGTGCCAGTCTGGAGGGAGGGTTTAGTCGGGGCCTAGGGTTGAGGGGTTGAGGGGTTTAGGGTTTAGGGCTAGGGTTTAGGGTTGAGGGTTTAGGGTTGAGGGTTTAGGGTTTACGTTTTAGGCTTAAGGGTTTAGGGCTTCGGGCTTGGGTTTTGGGGTTTGGGGTTTAGGTTGAGGGTTTAGGGTTTAGGGTTCAGGGGTTGGAGGGAGGGTGCCGGTGGAATCGGAACGCATAGAAGCCCTACAAGTCCTGATCGGGAGATGAGAGTCTTGAGGTTTTTGAGTGCGGCTTCCCCTATGGGTCGTCCTAAATCGTATGCATGCAGCCTTAAACCTTTGGGCTTGGGGGTGGCCCGAAACTCTATCCGTAATCCCTAAACTCTGAAAGCTTCAAGCTTCATCGACCCTAGATTCCCAACCCTAAAACCCTCAACCGCAAGTAAACCTCAACCGCAAGTAAACCCAAACCCTGGGGTTTGGGTTTGGGGTTTATCTCAAAGTTCTTGTAGTTGAATCAAGTCTTTCCTGGAAAGGCACAGACAGACAAGCTGTGATAGGAACCTTCACGTAGAGAGGTTTAGGGTTTTGGGTTTTGAGTTTTGGGTTTAGGGTTTAGGGTTTAGGGTTTAGGGTTTTGGGTTTAGGGCTACAAGTTGAACCCAAGACCCTCCAAGTCCTACGCCTTTCAAACCCACTTCTGAGGCTCTTGTGTCCGGCGAGTCCGTGATGACTCCGGCCCCTGCCTGAGTGTCTCAAGGGATGAAAAAGAGGAACTTAGGGTTGAGGGTTTAGTGTTTGCGGTTTAGGGAACATGTAGGGGTACTTACGCATTTAGGGACTCTACAAGGTAAAAATAGGGGTGGTTTCGGGGAATAAGATGGAGGGTCCCGTCTTACATGCCTTAAACGTCTAGGAGTCTTCTAGGGAATCGCTGTCGGGTTGGAAGTTGGCTTAGGGCTTGTTGGGTTCGCATGCGTTGCAGGGGGTTTAGGGTGGTTTAGGGTTTAGGGTGGGTTTTTGTAGCGGTAAGAGGAGTCTGGGGGGGTGGGGGGGGTTAAAGTTGGCATAGTGTTGATTGAAGTTTATAGAGTTGAGAGGGCTTATATAGAGGGTTTAGAGGGTTTAGAGGGTTTAGAGGGTTTAGATGGTTTAGAGGGTTTAGAGGGTTTAGAGGGTTTAGAGGGTTTAGAGGGTTTAGAGGGTTTAGAGGGTTTAGGGGTCTGAAAAGGGGCTTCTCAAGACGCTTCACACGTAGGCTGAGGCATGACACTGAACATCACAGTTTGTCTGATGCCAGCTTTTTGGGCCCAGCACACAGCATACAAGGACTTGGGCTTTTCTGGCTGGTTGCAAGTAGGGAATGAGGCAATGAGTACCCTATATGCACTTGAAGGGTATGGCCCTATAATTCCCTCATTCCCTACTAAGAGCCAGGGTGTTTTTGAGCCTAATGTGCGCAGAGTTGTGGGCTGGAAGTCGGCCAATGAAAGCGCTTACATCTCGACGGCACACGCTTTAAACCCTGAAACATGAAACCCTGAACCCTGAAACCCTAAACCCTAAATCCTAAACCCTAAACCCTAAACCCTAAACCCCCAAAGTACTGTACCTGCAGCCCGGGCCAAGGTCTACAACATGAAGACCGGGTACCGGGATGGGCGGCCCCTGCATGCTTCAACCGGAAATACTCAAGATTTGGGGTTTAGGATCCAGGGTTTAGGGTAAACCCTAAACCCTAAACCCTAAGCTCTTAGGGTTTAGGGTAGTGGCCGCAGACTTTCTACTTTACTTTTGAAGCCAAGCCTCGTATAGCATCCTCTACCGTAGCTGCAGAGGAGTAATCTATTTTCATGGGCGCCCCTACTACCCCCCTCTATACTCCCAGCCCTAAGTCCCCCCCTTAATATGCCTTAATTAGGATAACCTTAGTAATGGCCGGAACCGGGGGGGGGGGGGGGGGGGGGGTAGGAGGGGTGCAAATCTGAAGCTTTGAATGTGCTGCAAATGCGAACTCGATCGCAGCACCCTGACATCTCGAGCAAGGAGCGCGAGACAGAGAAAACTGTCAGCTACGCGCTCCAAGCTTTGTGCGTTAGGGCCTGTGCCTCTTTGGTGACGTGACGTCGCTACCCATCTTGCATGGTAGCGGGGCCTGCCTGGGCAGCGTTCCAGCAGAGCCGCCAGGGACTTTGGGGACGAGCTAGAGTGCCATCCCAGAGTGGCGTGTGATAAGGGAAGAGCGACGTCATGACCGAGCTCAAGTACACCAAGGATGGGGTTCCAATCTTTGATGGGAGCCCAGATGCCTTCACTCAGTACAAGAGGGCGGCCCTTTTGTACTGCGAGACTGTGGAGTGGAAGAAGAGGAGCTTGGTGGGGCCGAGGCTTCAGTCGGCTCTTGAGGGCAGTGCCAAGACAGCGGTGGAGCATATGCCGGCAACCTGGCTTTCCCATGATCAGGGTGCCATGCAGTTGCTGAACTTCCTTCGGGGCCAGGTGCGGCCACCGTCCTTGGCCGAAGCGGGCCGCTCCATCACCAGGTTCTTCTACGCAGTCAAGCGCCGCAAGGGCGAGGGCATGAGCGCCTGGATCGTGAGGCACGACGAGGCCTTGTTGGAGGTGAAGCGGACGCTGGCGGAGGCCATCCAGGAGTATGGGCCGCCAGAAAGCGTCCTTAGTCGACCTTGGAGTCGGGGGTGGTCAGGGCCTGGACAGGACAGCACGCCGAGAAGGACAAGCTCGCAGGTCGGGTCTTTTGATGGCTCCCACCGTGGCTTCGAGGCACAGCGGGGCGAGGAAGATGATGGTGGCTGGGAAGCTGCAGAGCAGAGGTTGGACGAACCGAACGACGAGGACGAGCGGCATTCCGACGCCAGCTGGGGACAATGGCAGTGGGGCCATTGGAACTGGCAGACCTGGGATAAGGCTTGGGCGTGGAACAAGTCCGACCACAGCCACCAGACATGGGACGCATCAGCCTCAGCCTCCGGACAGGCCGACAAGTTTTTGCCAGATTTTGTGGTGGCGTGGTTGCTCCTGCAGCGTTCGGGGTTGGACTCGACGGAGAAGAGCGTCATCGTGGCCAACTTGCAGAACAAGTTCACCACAGAGAAGGTCAAGGAGGCCTTGAAGCTCACGTGGCCTGATGAGGACCTTCGCCGACGAGACACAGGACGCCAAGGGGCCTACCTCACTGCCGAGGAAGAAGCCTTGATGACCGAGAACCTCGAGGAGAACATGGACCACTTCGAGGCCGAGACTGAGGAAGAGCACCAGGCTTACGCAGCGCTAGAGGACGAGGCTCGCAGTGCGATGGCAGCCTTGCAGGACGCGCGGCGCACTTTGCGTGACGCGCGAGAGAAGCAGTCCATGATGAGGAAGAACCGTAGTTTCTTCCCGGGTTCCAGCTCCTCAGGTCGGAGTGGTTTCGACAAGCCACCCATCAAGTGCTTCAAGTGTGGTGGACCACACATGCGGAAAGACTGTCCCAAGGAGACGGCCGAGTCTAAGCCCAAGCAGGTGCACTTCGTTTTCCAGGCCACCCAGGACAAGGACGACGTCGAGATGGACGCAGCAACTGCCGAGCCAAAGGCCACGGCATCAGTGCACCAGTGCTGGGCAGCCGCCATCGAGGACAACAAGGACCATGACCACGACGCCTTCCTGTCTCTCCAGGAGATTGTCGCACAGGGAAAGGCGATCGTCGATGGCGGGGCCACCAGCACGCTTGGGTCGGAGGGCGCCTTGCAACGCATCGCCCAACTCCAGTGGCAGCGTCAGGGCCAGGACAACATAGAGATTGTGGCAGGCGACCAGCCGTCCTTCAGGTTTGGCAACAACGGGCGAACGACCTGTATGTCCACAGCTTTGGTGGGAGTCAACTTGGATGGCAAGCCGGGTCGCATGCAGATCCACGTACACGACATCGAGAACCAGCCGGTTCTGCTGTCCATCAAGGCCTTGAAGACCTTGGGCGCGGTGGTTGACTATGGGCGTGATGAAATTGTGCTCACGAAAGTAAACCCCTACAAGGTCGCCCGCTTGGAGACCACCGAGAGTGGTCATCAGTTGTTTCCTTTGGTGGACGACGTGTTGCAAGGAGCATTTGTGCGACAGACGCCGTTTGTGTCGTTGAGCGAGCCCGAAGGCGCGACCTCAGCGACCGAGTAGGGACAGCTCCTTTTGGCGAGTCATGGAACACTTGGGAGCAGTTGCCAAAAGGAGAGAGTAGCTCCTATGTACAGTTGTTTTTCAGATTGCGCATTTGAAGGGCTAGGGTTTTGTGACATCGAGATTGCTTCCTTTCATGACATGGTAGTGGCACCATGGCTGCTTCGCACTACTTGTGTAGCTGTACAGTGTGCCCTTTCGCAGCCCCGACTGTGCCAAGAGAATAGTGTCAACGTATGTGCCGGTCCTTGCGCTTGTCCGTCTTCGCAACTTCATGGCGCCGAAGTCCCTGAGCGCGATGAACAAGGCGGAGATGCAGGAAGAGCTCCGGGGCTGGAGCGAAGAAGCGCCGACGAGTTGGGGGAAGACGCAGCTCGCCGCGCGCATCAGCGAGATCCGCGCCGAGAACCAGACCAACGAGATGACCGAGAGGAAGCTGGTGACCCAGATCAACAAGTTCAAGAACCGCGAGGCCCTGAGAGAGCACCTGACCAACGAGGGCGTGACCTGGAGCCCCCACCAGACGAATGCGGACCTCAAGTCGCTGGCCTTAAAGCATGGCATGAGTCAGGTGCCACCGACTCCCAGCGACCTCATGGGCTTCGGCAAGCACGCCAAATGGACCTACGGCGAGACTCTCATCATGGACAGTGCCTACACGAAGTGGTGCATCACGACAACGGACGAGGAGGAGAGTCCCCATTGGCGCCTGGTTCGCTTTGCCAATTGGGCTCGAAACCTAGACACCGACGCCAAGAAGAAGGTCGAGCAGGGGGTGACCAAGGCCATGGTGGGGACGTCGTCGGTGAGAACACGCTCTTCAAGGGCCTCGGCAATATCGTCGGCGTCGTGGCAGGTGGCCGAGGATGCGGACGAGACCGAGCTGATGCATGTGGAACCGACCGATGCCGAGAAGATCGCGGCCTTGGAGGCGGAACTCCAGGACCTCCGGCGCAAGACGGGGGAGACAAAGACCAGCAAGAAGTGAGGGACGAAGCTCCCGACCGCAGTTGGTGGTCAGCCGATTGGGTGGCTGAGGATGATGCGTATGTAGCCTCAGGTCTGCACAGCAAGCTGTCTTTTTCTCAGGCACGAAACCTCGGCAGGCACTATGAAGGGGCTATGGCTGACATCGTAGGTCAGTTGTCTAAGCCGAATAGGGTTCGGTTGGTTGAGGTAGGTTGTAGTTCCGAAAGCCGGCTCACGGCAGAGTGCCTAAGACGTTTCGGCCCCGACTCTGCAGTGAGGCTCTCTTTTTGGAACGGCGGCGATATCGAGACGGAGAAGGGGAGGGCTCTAGTGAAGCGTACCATAGAAGAGTTGAGGCCTGATTTAGTTTGGGTTGCTCCAGAATCTGGCCCCTTCTCCCCCCTTCAAAGAACCAATCAAAGAACCGCTGAACAAAGAGCCTCGCTGCAGCAGAAACAACAGCAAGCTGTTTTACAGTATGAGGGCGCTGCTAGCATCATCCGGGCAGCCGCTGCTATTGGTTGCCACACGGTGCTCGAGCTTTCTGAGTTTTGCGAAGCATGGAACCATGACTGGTACACTAGGCTTCATGGGGACTTGGGGTTCCATCATGGGGTGTGCAAGGGTTGCCAGGTTGGGCTTCGCAATGCTCAGGGTGTTCTGATGTGCAAGGGCTGGGGCATCAGTAGTGATTGGGGTCCGCTTGTCCAGCATCTGTCGCTGAGCTGTGATGGTCGACATGCTCGGGCTAGATATGAAGGGCGGGATAGCAGGCATTCAACTTCCCACACTGAAGTGTTTGCTAAGCGAGTGTGCTCCTTCCTTGCCCAGTCTGACAGTTGGATTCATTTCGCCTTGGAAGCCAGCACGGCGGGACTGCTAGAATCCACTAAAGGTCTGGCCTTAGCGAGTGGTAGAGTAGGAGACGAAATTGAAAGTAGCCAACATCCAGGCAGTTCCGCGGCATCAGGACTCACTGGAGGGCCCAATTTGCCCGAGCCAGGACGACAACCCGAGGAGGGGAGCGATGCGCTGAAAGACATTCCCGTCGAACAAAGGCGTAAGATCTTCCAGAACCTTAGGAAGATTCACACTGCGTCGGGCCATTGTAGTGTTGACTACCTGGTTCGGAGTCTTAAGAAGAGAGGGGCTTCCAAGGACGTGCTCCGGTGTGCTTCGGAATTCAGGTGTGACGTGTGTCGTGAGCGTAGACGACCTGATCCTAGACATCAAGCTACACTGAACTCGATTGCCCCGAAATGGCATACTTTGCAGTGTGATGCTGGTACTTGGACGCACCCTGAAAGTGGCCAGAAGTATCAGTTCATGATTGGGGTTGATGAAGGTTGCCGGTTGAGGGTTGCAAAGTTGTTGTTCCAGCATCAGACCCGCACTCCTAACACGGAGGATTTTATCACCTTCTTAGAAGAACAATGGTTTCCCCATTTTGGTAAACCCGCCGAAATCCGACTAGACCCAGCAGGCTGCTTTCGGAGCAGCCGGCTAGACCAGTACTTAAGCGAGCGCCAGATAATGCCTCAACACATTCCTGCGGAAGCTCATTGGCAGCTTCCGCTAGCCGAGAGAGCCGTCGCTACCACCAAGGTCACCATGACGGCTTTGGTCAATGAGCACCCCGAGATGAGGGCGTCAGAAGCATTAAGCCGAGCCATCTGGGCGGCAAACTCCAGGGATGTTTATCGGGGATATAGCCCTCTCCAACATGCTTTCGGGAGGGCTCCGGATGAACTGGGTAGGCTGGGCGATAATGTGCTTCGGGATGTTCCGATTCTGACGGAGAATGGCATTTCTGCTGAGTTCGGTTATGATGTGAAAGCCATGTTGACTGCCGAACGAACCTTCTTAGAAGAACAGGCGAGAGAGCGACTTCAGAGAGCAGAGGCGTCAGGCCACAGACCCATGAGACAATTCACTCCTGGGGATCTTGTGTACGTTTGGAGGCGCATGACGCCGAAGCAAGAAGGGAGCAAGCCTTTCCGTACCGGGCGTTTTGTGGGGCCTTGTAGGGTTTTAGCTACGGAGACCCGGGTTGAGGAGGGGCATTTGAGGGCTGGCAGTGTGATTTGGTTGTACCGGGCTGGGAATTTGATAAAGGCTTCGCCTGAACAGTTGAGACCTGCAAGTGCCCGAGAAGAGGCATGGCAGGAGCTCCAGGAACCCATTGAGATTCCATGGACCATAGGGGACACCTTAGCTAAGAACCCACCTCACAGCTATGAAGATGTTACGTCAGAGGCTTCGCATATGCCCGCCACGGCCCATAGGGATGAGCTGGAAAGGCAGGAGAGCGGCTGGCCAACACCTACGCGAAGGGTGACGGGCAAACGTGGAGCAGACCAAGGGGCTGTGGGGCGGGAGGTGAGGCCGCGGGAAGGGGCGGGAGCTAGCGAATGGGAACAAGGGGAAGATCCCGTAGAATCCTCTCAAACGCCCGTTCACGCCGGCGGTCGCGTTCGGTCTCGGACGCCGCTCCATAGGGGTCGACCTGTGGCACACAGGGTCCCGTTAGAAAGGGCCGACTTTCTAGAAGAGTGTGGGTTGGTTCTTCCTGATGAGCCCAGGAAATTCTGGAGCTCATCAGGCGCGGCGATCGAACTGGCCATCGACCTTCCGAAGGCCAACACAAAGAAAGGCAAGGAGTGGATGCGAGACCTGGGTTGCTTCTTTAGTAGGCAGCTGAGAAGAAGCAATGTTGAGGTGTCTGAAAAACACCTAAGTCCCGAACAAATTGAGGGGTTCCGAAAGGCCAAACATAAAGAGGTCCGAAACTTTGTCGTTGCTGAGGCTTTTAAGCGACTGCCGGAACACCTTAAACCCTCAAGAGACCAGGTCCTGAAGATGAGGTGGATTTTAACTTGGAAGCTGGATGATAGTCATGACCCTAAAGACGGTGAACCCTTGAAGCGGGACTCTTCCAATAACCCCCTCAAACCAAAGGCCCGGGCCGTGGTGTTGGGTTACATGGATCCCGCCTATGAATTCCGACCCACGAGTTCCCCCACCATGAATCGAACCACGCGGCAGCTGTTTTTACAAGCTAGTGCCAACATGGGTTTTAGCATCTCCAAAGGTGACATCAGTAGCGCCTTTTTACAAGGCGATGCCTTTGGAGAAGACCGGCCTATGTACTGTGAACCCCTCAAAGAGATCTGTGAGGCCCTGGAAGTGCCTGAGCACTCCACCATGCTGCTTACGAAAGCAGCATATGGGTTAGTAGAGGCCCCCCTTCAGTGGTATCTTACTGTAGCAAAATTTTTGGAGTCCATAGGGGGCGAGCGCCAGTTCTCGGACCCATGCTGCTGGGGTTTCTTCCGAAAAGATCGAACGCCCATCGCATATGTGTGCGGTCATATAGATGACTTTATGTTTGCCGGGAAAGGGGATTGTCCTGAATGGGCGGCCTTAAGGAAGAAGATCCAGGATCGGTTCAAATGGGGCTTGTGGGAAGAACGCAAGTTTGTGCAGTGCGGGGTCCTGATTCAGAGCCTGGACAATGGAGGGTTCTGCTTGAGTCAACCGGACTTCCTCGATTCCATCTGTGAGGTTAACATTGGTCGCAACCGAGCTAAAGACTTAGAGGCCAACATGTCCCCAGGCGAGATGCATCAAGTAAGAAGCGTGCTTGGAGGACTGTCATGGCATGCAAATCAAGTAGCGCCGCAGCTTTGTGCACATGTGGGGCTGTTGCTGTCTAAAGTTAGCAAGGGTTGTGTCAAAGACGTGTTGGAGGTAAACCGTTTGGTAAAGAAGGCAAGGGCCACTCAGCACCAAAAATTGTTCGTCCACCCGTGTCCATCCAAGGAGATGCCCGTGGTGGCAGCTTGGGTGGACGCCGCGCACGCCAACCGCGTGGACTTGGGCTCCACCAAGGGCGTGGTCATTGGGTGTGCCTCTGACAAGCTTCTTAAGGGAGAACTGACGCCCATAACCCCAATCATGTGGCAATCCGCCAGAATACACCGAGTGTGCCGGTCAAGTGCGGCTGCCGAAACTAGAGCTGCCATAGACGC